AATAGGAAGGCTATCTCACCTTGAACTTCTGCCCGGACAGGTCAAAAGAGAACTGTCAGGACGAGGACAACACCTAATGGGCGTACGACTGGATGAAGAGTAGTAATTCAGTGAAGAGAGAAGGATTCAAAATCTGCAGAGGCAGCTGGTGAGCAAGTTCACGGACTCCAAATTCGAAAGGTACGGGACGGTTGCATCTGCACCCACCACCTTCCTGACTTGGCTACAGAGGGACGAGGAGCAACATAGAAGTGAACGAATCTCAGACTCTTGAGGTTTTTATTTCGTGAGTGGGTATATCCTGATTCCGTCAACTCTTCTTTTCCTGAAATCTATCTTCCTGCATTTCTAAGATAAGAACTCGTTTCTAGCCCTTCGAGCACCTGTGCCGTGTTCTCTCAGCTCCTAGAGCAGAGGGAAATGTTTCCTTTCTTTCTTTTTGCATTTGCTTATACTCATAAACCCTCTCTACTTGTGCTAGGCTTTCATACTCGGTGTTTCAATGATGGGCTACTTGGTTCCTGGGCTACTTGGTTCCTGGGCTACTTGGTTCCTAGTCCTACCTACGGAATTATCGGAGTTAGACATCTTCTATTTCACCACTTCAGAGACTCTTTCACCCGGAGCATCAACTAGAAAATCAACATATACATATACTATTTCTCCTCGTCAAGATCAAGTCTAATACTTACTCGCATTGTAAAGGCTACTATATATATAGACACAGCTGGTCAGAGATGAAATTCTAGAATTTTCCCAAGCTACCCCACCATCGACACAGCGGGGTAGTTTTTGGTGGATTAGTGAGCATCATCGACCCTTAATCCTTAGGTAATATAATGTCAGTTGCTTCATAAGCTCAGCTCATCGTTCTCTTCTCTCCTCCTTATTTTCAATCTTTCATCACTCTCAGACATCCACATTGATTGCAAATATCTCCTATAAAATGGGCAAGCAAGTCACTGAAATTGTCAATCTACCTCTGCACCCTGGCACCGACCTCCAATCGGGTGACAGCGGAAAGATATGGACAGACATCGCAGGAACCATTTCATCGCAAGATGGCTGTCAAGGCATTTACTGGGGACGTCAAATTGAGCACCCAGACATCGTCCAACTGGCCATTCGTAAGCACCTCCTATACCTCACACTACTGCTACACTCTTCCACTTTCGATTGCAATCATCGATCACTGACACACCTGCCTACAGTCTGGGATGATATTTCTTCCCATGAAGCCTTCATGAAATCGCCTACCTATGGCCCCTTCGGGAAGACCATCATGCAGCTTGTTGACGGCAACGTTGACTTCCACCACGCTGCGCTCCCAGCCCATACACCGTTTGCACAGGACGGCAACTTGCCCACCACAGAATGCCTATCCCTCTACTTCCCCAAGGACTATCAGACCGATAAATGGGACGACAATTGGAATAGATTCTGCAAGAAGTTGGAAGACACTGCAGAAGGAATGAATGCAGTGGTAGGCGCGTGGGGCATCGAAGAAGTGAATAGGAAGGTGGATGGCAAGGATACGGAGGCGAGGGTGTTTAACTGTTTCATTGGATGGGAGAGTGTGGACGCGCATATTAAGTTTAGGGATACGGAGGGGTTTAAGGACGCGGTTCCTTTGCTGAGGGAGGGGCCTATTGACATTGAGATGCACCATGTAAAGTTCAGCAAGATCTGAAATGTTGCTTGAGCAAAATAGCTGAGTTGGACACCATTACAGTCTGTTATGAGGACGTACACTTTAAACTGGAAACAAATTGATGTGAGTAACTAAATCTACTTCAGGTGTTCCGATAGCGCCCCTTCAAAAATGCAATATCCCAAATGCAATATCCCAAATGCAATATCCCAACTGCAATATCCCAACTGCAATACCCCAACTGCAATACCCCAACTGCAATATCCCAACTGCGATATCTCCAGAAAGCCATGTATTCCCCAGCTCTCCAGATTTTACTCAGTATGAAGTCATTGATAAAACATCAAATAACCGTTATCACGATCCTTATCCATCCCCATTCGCATTAGCCTTCTGTCCCTCCGCCTGCCTCGGCATTTTGATTGGCCCACCCCGGACCCCAGATGGCGATCTATCTCAGTTTTTCGTCGCCGGCGTCGGAGGTAACGCTAAACTGCGACAATGTTTAAGGACGCCACCTAAATCACAGAGTCTAGCCTCGATACCAAGATGAAAAAACTGTCTTGGTTTTCTTATATTTTATATATATTTTTCACTCCCACCCTCTGTTTTTGGTACACGTACAATTTGAAAATGGGAAAAGAGTAGGAATGGACTCCAGAATTTGGAGGGATTTGGGATTTTAGCCTCACGTAAACCCATCTTTAACAACTGCCGTACCGTAATCATCACTACGTCGCAAGGCAACACGCATACGGATATAAAGGTACCACGTTTGACGATCCCCGTCTCGCCTCCGGAGGCCTCTCTAAGACCTTATATAGACGTCCAGCCTTTCCAAGTCTCGGTAATTCTTGTTGTTCAAAATGGCCACCAAGGAGGAGATGTCCCCGCCAGAGCTTATCCATGAAGATAGGAAGACTAATTCGATTGAAAATGACGGACGAGAGGTAGAAGGTATCAAAGAGATGGATCAGTTGGAGATGGCAGATACGAGGCTGGAGGAGAAGATGTTGGTTAGGAAGTTCGATGTTCACTTGATTCCGGTGGTTATGTTGTTGTATTTGCTGAGTTTCCTAGATAGGTGAGTTCTTCAACTTTTCTCTCTGGTGGCTTCATATGGAATTGGAGCCGTGTACTTGGAGGAGAAGGAATTTTGACGGGCGCTTTACGGATGCAATTGCAATTTCTCATTATATTTCCCTCTATTATGTCCTATGAGCCTTGGTTCAATCTCTTTTCCATCTATACCCAGAGCTTTATTATCCTTCTCGATCATATCTTATTACCGCTCATTAACAGTTTATTCTTCTCTCCCATCTCTCCCTTCAACCCTACCGATCCTAACAACCGTTAGAGTAAACATTGGCAATGCCCGTCTCTACGAAATGGAATCCGACCTCGGCCTCCATGGCAACCAATTCCAAATCGCTGTCAGCATCCTCTTCGTCACCTACATTCTTTCTGAACTTCCTTCAAACCTTGTTCTCAAGAGACTGCGCCCCTCACGCTGGATCGCCTTCATCACCACCGCCTGGGGCATCATCGCTACGCTAACCGGCATAACGCAGAACCTCGCCGGGCTGGTTGTATGCCGTCTATTCCTCGGTGCCGTTGAAGGCGGGCTGTTTCCGGGTATGGCTATTTATTTGACGTTCTTCTATACGAAAAGAGAACTGGCGCTGAGGATTGGGTATTTGTTTGTTTCGGCTGCACTGGCAGGCGCTTGTGGTGGATTACTGGCTTTTGCAATCGGCCACATGCAAGGCATAGCCGGGCAAAACGGCTGGCGCTGGATCATGATCATCGAAGGGCTCCCCACGTTCCTCCTCGGCATCGCCACATGGTGGCTCCTCCCCGATGATCCCTCTACCGCGTATTTTCTCTCAGCAGACGAAAGGAATTTGGCGGCAGCGAGGTTGAAAAGACAAACAGGCTACACGAAATCAGCGGCGGAGTTCCACTGGAAGGACGTCAAAGCCGGACTCAAAGACTGGAAGGTCTGGCTCTTCAGCTTCGCGCAATTCGGCAGTGACACCATGCTTTACGGCTTCTCCACCTTCCTCCCCACCATAATCCGCGGCATAAACCCCTCCGCTACCGCGGCTCTCGTCCAAGTCCTCACCATCCCATGCTACGCGCTCGGTGCCATAACGTATCTCCTTGTCGCGCGCTTCTCGGACCGTCAGCAAAAGCGCGGGCTCTATTCCGTGTTGTTCGCCCTGATTAGTATAGTGGGGTACGCGATGCTGATCAGTGATTCGGGAGCGGGAGTCCATTATGCGGGGTGTTTTTTGGTGGCAATGGGGCTGTATATTATTGTGGGACTGCCGTTGGCGTGGTTGCCGACGAATTGTCCTCGGTATGGGAAGAGGACTACGGCGACAGGGTTGCAGTTGACGATTGGGAATTGTAGTGGGATTATGGCGAGTTTTGTAAGTTGGCTCTACTTATCACTTTACGATGCCGATGATGGGGGATTTTGGACTGTGGTTGCTGACTGATACTAGCTGTATCCCTCCACCGAAGGGCCCCGCTACGTCCGAGGCCACGCTGTCACTATGGCTATGGTGGCTTTCTCATGCCTATGTTTCATTTTCATGACCATTTACTTGGAGCATGTGAACGCACGGAGACTCAGAGGTGAAGAGGATTATAAAATAGAAGGGATGACGGATGAGCAGGTGGCGGAACTGGGGGATGATAGCCCGCGGTTTATTTATACAGTGTGATGCAGCGAACAGGTTTATACGGTATAATGCCAGAACGAAGGACTGGATAATACGTAGCGTGGATGCGGTTTGCAAGATACCCATTTGAGGAGATGGCCAAAACTTTTTCCAATGATAAGTTATACCTAAGATGTAGATAGATTAGTATGTGGAATTTGCCTCTCGAAACACTAAACAGATACTCTGGCTTGCCTAAAGACAACAGACCGAGCTCTAAGTGAAAATCTTCCCATCCTCTCGATTCTCGCTCTCAGCAAACCTCAGCCTCTTGTCTCCTTTAGGACCTCCACGAGCTCTGTATTACTTATCTTTAGGAAGAGATTCGCTCAGGGCTAGCCTAGGTGTGCTTCTGGCAAGAATAGCAGGGTATGTTGGCGTGTTTGCCGTCCAGTCCCACATGCGCAGTCCGGAGACATCACGGAATTCCAATTGTCGCCAGTCAAGTCCTTTTATCCAAGAGCTTCTATACAGAATAGAAATGCTGCAGTTGCTTCATGTTCGGGGAGGTCGTCGTAGAGATGGAGCGGTTGACTTATCCATCCTCCGGCCTAGTACCCAACAAAGCCTGAGCAAAAAATTATACAAAAAAAAAAAAAGGAAGTTTTAGGGAAACTAAATGCTCTCTGCCAGATTCGAACTGGCGGCCTTCGGATCGCTAACTGTTTAAGCTAGTCATAGCCAGAACTATGAGACCGACGTGATAACCGACTACACCAAGAAAGCTAGTTGATTGATGAGTAGTCCTCATTAAATCAATATCTATAAATATAACAAATAATTAATCCTGTTCTGGACCTCGTTTCGTGCAGTTGGTGTGGGCAACAATTTGGGACGCAGGCGGTTAAAGCGCAGGTGGGGTAAGATTTGCATTTTCGCAATACATTTAGGTTCAGAGCTTATCATTGGTTAACTTCATATAATACATTTATTAGATCTTTCAGACGCATGGTGCTTGGTTGTTTTCCAAATTATTGGTCCGGTGGGGAAATTAAGCGTGTCTTCGGGTGGAAATGATTATTCATTGAATTCCACAATTCTAATTGTCTGATTTTGTTGGAATAACACTCTCATATGTCGCACAACTTCTTTCTCAGTGGTAGAAGGGAGAAAGTACGCTGTATATTCTATACTAAATCTATAGAGGTAGTGCTCAAGGTCAGAGCGTCTGATTATTCTGGCAGCATTTTATATAGGGAGGATAGAATATTGTAATGGAGCTGATCAAGGGTTTAAAACAAAGTCTGTTCTTTATTATATCGTTGGGGTTGAGCATTAGGAAGTATGTTGTTCTACTTGTGTAAAACTTATTTTATGGTGGTGATTCAGAGCCAATTGGGTCTGGCATTCCATTATCTGTTGAAGTCCTGCTTCAATAGGGACGCAGCACAGTTCACTGGGGAAATATCTATAACTCAGGTGCCTACATCATGGTAAGTTTAAGTGAAGTCGGAAGATGAGTATGTAATACTCCTATCTTATTAATGGTATTAGTTTCCTCAGCTGATTCTGGCCATATTAGCGAATTTGGGAAGAAGGTATTTCCTGACGGTAGGGACAGACTCAGGTCAGAAGTATAATGGGCCTATTGACGCAGGAGACGTCGAATAAGTTACAACAAAGCTATCGTCAAAAGATAACTTCGGTTTTGCCGGTCGTCCTGAACGCCCGAAGTGCCGTTGCCAACCCAAGCATAGAGATGCGATGCCCAAACCTGCCAATGATGTATCTTCATAACCAAAAACCAACTCCTAGCAAGTCCCTGCGCTTGGACTGATATGTTCCCACACCCTAAGTAGGCCTCGTCTCAGGCACGGGGCTTCTAGGTGCCGTCGTGACAGAGGGCAATATCCCATACCTCCCATACTTTTTCTGGTCTATAGAAACGTAATGCGGTAGCCGTCCGAGTAGATTCAATTTCGTTTCGACCCAGCGGAGGATCTTCTCTGGTGGCGCGAGGAAGCGGATGTATCCCAGACCCCAAAGATATCCGAATAGCGCTCCACAGAGATGGCCGAGGAGACTCGTACTTGGCACTATGAAGTAGGTTATGAAGATTGCAAGGATGGGGGTCGTCCAGGTGGGGATTTTGTAGGGACCGATACTAAGGAACTGTAAGTGCCGGGGCAGGCTGTGAGAGTGGTGAGAGTACCTGAAGTTTGGATTTGCCTTGTGCGTTTTTACAGTTTCAGCGCAGAGGAGCATGAATACCCATATACTGTCCGTTATTAATAAAGGTTCATTCCAGCATGGATTGTCTCCTCGTACCTTGCGCCCATAACCGTTGTATTACTCCTGAGAACAAATCTCTCCAAAAGAACATAAAGCCCGCCGGGCAACAATCCAAAAGGTCCAGTGAAGAGTAGTAGACAGGGTATCGTTCCGAACTCGGCTTCGAACCGCTCAAGAAGGGGCGTTAACGTAATGACATTAAACATCATATGTAGAAAGTTGATATGCATTAAGGGAAAGGTGTTGAGCCGGTACACTGCGCAGATCTCAAGTTAGCCTTCTGAACCAAACATACGAAGCCGAGCCTAAAGAAATATACTTACTGCCTCCCGTCAAAGGATTCACCTTCTCTGGCTCCAGCGCAGTCAAGGGCCTGAACCAGCTGAACGGAATCGTCGCCGCCCATGCCAGCACAATAACCAGAACGAGAAGACGAGTGAAGAGCGGTAACCGGAATATATACGAGCGCAACCGCGCGGGATTGAATTGAGGGAGCGACGCCATAATGAAGGGACAAAACTCGAAAGTATGGAGTTACATGTATCCCACTTCTGGTGAAGGTGGCTTGCTGAAGAGCAGCAATTCGAGGCGCGTCGCGAGCGGGTGCAGCAAAGAAATTCCCCCCGGGGGTCGCTCAGCCCTGTCGGAGTGGATATGCCCACCATCGCCGGTGGAGCAACAGCAACAACATTAGAAACACCTCTCGCTATGCCTTAAGGAATTGGGGAATATGGCGCTGATATGTGAGTTTATAGTATCATCGAACACACTGGTCCATTACTAACGGCACAAGCAAATCTTCTCGCGCTCCGCCGCGACCCCCGTATTCTCAAGCTTCCCCCTTACCTTTCCGCACTATGTATCATTGTGGGAGTAGTATGGCTATTAGTACTGCCATTGAATGAGTACTCCAGGAACACGTATATCTCGGAGAATGCCTTGCTACCCGGGCAGGTTCATACGTACTTTGGCGGAAGCGAGCATAATATCTTTCGAGCATACCGACATGAGGTAGCTGGACTGGTGGGCAAGCCAATTGAAGAGTAGAGAACACCGCACTTTTATGTACAAAGGCCACAAAAGCTCACAGGAATACAGGAGGAGCCAGAGACTCGGTGAAATCTTCAAATCCTCCAACCTCAAAGTCGCAACTCAAAAGTACGAATATCACGCCTCAAGCCGCAACGTATCCGGACAGAATGTATATGCCGTCCTCCAAGGACCCAGGGCCGACGCTACCGAAGCCATAGTCCTCATAGCAGCATGGACAAATATGGACGGCGAAATCAATCACAGTGGTGTTGCCCTCGTACTCACCCTCGCTCGATACTTCAAGAGATGGTCGCTCTGGTCCAAAGACATCATCTTCCTCCTCGCCGGTGATAGCACAGCCGGCCCACAAGCCTGGGTGGACGCCTACCATGACTCACACTCCCCCGCGGCCATCGATCCCCTCTCCATCAAGAGCGGCGCCCTCCAAGGCGCTGTAGCCATCGACTACCCCGCTGGCCCCTGGGGCCACCGCTTCGACAAACTGCACGTCGTGTACGATGGCGTCAACGGCCAGCTCCCGAACCTCGATCTCTTCAACACAGCCGTATCAATCGCAAGCGGCCAGATGGGCATTGGATGCACGTTGCAGCGCATGTTCCAGCACGACGATAGCTACCAAGCACGTCTGCAAACGATGCTCAGGGGCATGATATCGCAAGGGCTCGGCCACGCCTCTGGTCCACATAGCAGTTTCATTCCCTACCACGTCGACGCCATCACTCTCCAAACTGTGGGCGACGGCTGGCACGATGAAATGTCCCTCGGCCGAACCCTGGAGAGCTTATTCAGGAGTCTGAATAACCTCCTCGAGCACTTCCACCAGAGCTTCTTCTTCTACCTCCTCATGCAGGCGAACCGCTTCGTCAGCATCGGGACCTATCTTCCCAGCGCGATGCTCCTAGCCGTCAACTTCACCATCACAGCCATTGCGCTATGGGTAGCTAGCGGGCGCTCGGATGTTCCAGTTGCGAATCCCGCATCAACATCAAGATCCCCAGCTCCAAAGTCCGAAAAGGCGGCAGGAGAATCAGAAATGACCGTCCTCAAAACCGGCTCTTCCATTGCTCTGATTCCAACAATCTCCCTCACTATAACAGAGCGCCATCTCTTCCTTCCATTAACCTTCATAGCCTTAACGCACTTTTTAGCACTCCTGCCCTTGTACATATTCAACAACGCCCCAGAATCGCTACTCGACATCGCCTTTAACACCACCGCAGTCCTGACCAGTATCCTTCCCACTCTAGCCGCATACGTCCTTTCCATATACCATCGTCCGACCCAACAAGAAGCTACTTTGATACAGTGCTTTTCTTTATTATTGTTGGGGATGTTCCTCTCGGCGCTTGCAACGCTAAACTTCTCCCTCTCCTTCCTCATCGGCATATTCGCTGCGCCGCTTACTTTCATCCGACATATCCCGTTACCCACTAGCCCAACTTCGTCGATTCTCAGTAAGAACCGGAAACCCGTATCCGCGGTGATCAGTCTGCTGTTAGTCGCCATCAACCCAGTCATCGTAATCAGAGCAGCGACATTGTACTGGGGCAAAGACATTGTCGAGGTATTGGTGCAGGCGGCAGAAGGATGGCATATTTTTGGGCTGTGGACGCAAGTCGTAGTCTGGTTAGTTTGGTGGCCGGCGTGGTTTGCTGGAGGTGTGGTTGTGGCTAGAGGTATGTTCTCATAAGACAAGACAAGAGGATTTTGGGAAGGGAAATATTCGCTGGCAGGGGATCGCATGCATAGGCAAGAGTTCAGAAGATTGAGAATAAGTCGTTATACGTTTGATTCCTGTGGTATGCCAACCACGGGCTGTTCTCCATTATCTATCCTGATTTGTGTGCTGTTATAACCCCGAACAGCAGCTATAACCGGGAAACTATTCAACCGAGCAAAGATAACAGATTGATGGCGAGGTCTTGAGCGTGACTGCTCAAAGCAACTTCCAAGAAGCTATTATATCATACCAGGCTTGCATGCAGCGGGCCTGGCAGGAGCAGATCTCACTAATTCGCATTACGACTGTGAAGTACTCCGGTTGAAAGAGGTCCAAAGAGTAATTCTTCCCTGATGCATCAGCTCAAAATTGTTTTCTTATGCAGCCCAGACATCCTTTCCGACACCCTCGATCCAGTTGCCCAGTTGGTTCACGCTGGAATCCCACTCCTTCAATCTAGTCCTCATGCTCTCGATCTGCTTCATGTCCAGAACCTTTGGCTGGACCCAGTTGATCCTCGCGATTTCAGCAACTTGATCAATTGTGCCCTTCAACAAGCCCAGACTCAACGCCTTCATGATCAAGTGCTCGATCTCGTCCGGCTGGACCTTGGTTTCTTCAGCAATGGTGCCGAAGGTCATCGCACGGTCGTGTGGTGGGCGACGGAACACGGCCTCCGTCAACGCAGACAGAGATATCTTCTGGTAAAGGAAGACGCGGT